CCTCAAATGATTCAGTTCTCAAATAAATTCTTTTTAATTAATATAATTATTCAAAAAAATGATTCCACTATCGACATAAATTCTTTTAATTCATAATAATTATTCTAAAATAATCTTTTCTCAAAATAGTTTAACAATTCAAATAATTCGTTTTTTTCAAAAATAAATTATTTTAAATTATCTATTTAATAATTATTCAAAACTAACTCTTTTCCAAATAATCTCTTTTCTCATCATAATAATTCTAATTAATCTAGAAAACATTAATTTATCATTTGAAATCATTTAATATCGTCATCAACAGTCCCGCATAGATAATATCAATATTTATATGGTAACATAATCAAATCACAGGCATGTAATTAATTCATATTATATCTAAAAATGAAATGACGAGTCAAAGAGAAAGGGATCTTGCCTATGGGTTTTGTCAAACGAATCGACGTTGACGGCACAGGTTGGATCGGACGCGGTGAAGCGTGGTGTCGGCTATACGCTACAGGAGGGAGGCGACGGCGTCGGAGGCTGTCGGGCCATGCAGATCTGACATGGCAGCGGGGTTGGCGGTTGGACTGGCATAGATGGGGATCTCGGTGGTGAGGGCTAACCGCGATAGCGCGAACGAGGGATGTCCAACGAGGTGAAAGGGCAGCGGGCGGTCGGTCGGCGGCGGCGGGGGATGTCGACGTGGGCTCGGATTTAGTGAGAGACGCTCAGTCGGCGGAGCTGAGGGGCACGTCGGGCTCTTAGTCTGAGGAGAAGAAGAGGTGGAGGCGGGCTCCGACCGCAAGGATGGGTCGGCAGGCTCCGCGGAGCGTCGGGTATCGGGGGAGCAGGCGGTCTTGGAGTTGGGGCGGGGTAGTCGGAGCTGGAGATCTGAGAGAGGCTGTCGGGGATGTGAAGGCGGTGCGTCGCTAGGGGCGTGGTGGAGAGGGAGATGGTGTACTGGGGGACAGCGGGACTGGAGGTGGAAGAGGAGCTCGGGGCGGATGCTATGGTGGACGTGGCTTGGAGTGGAAAGGGAGGAGGGAGATGGTTGTGGAGGTAGTATGTTCCGGTCGGAGAGCGGCTGCGGTTCGGCTTTGGATCGACGGCGGGTGGCGTGACGTCTATGGTGGAGCGTAGCTGAACAAGCGGTCGGGTCGGGGAAGAGAGACTTCCAGGGGGGCGCAGCTATTGCGGAAGAAAGAGCAAGGAGAAGAGAAAAAGAATATCTTATATATTATAATATATATATCATATATATATATAGAGAGAGAGAGAGAGAGAGAGAGAGAAGAAATTAAGGTTTTTAAAAAATTATTTAAAAATAATAATAATCACAAAAAAATTAGTTAATTACGTGAAAATTATCTACACATCAAAACATACCAATTGCAGTATTACAACTAATAATACACAACAGTAAAAATAATACAAGAAATTGCATAATTAAACAAGAATAATTAATAAAAATATAATTATTTATATTTAAAATTAAATAATTATGGGATAATTATCCACATAGAAAAATATACTAGTTATACTAATACGACAGGTAATATGCAACAGTAGAATTAATACAACAAATTATACAAAATAATATATAATATTAATACAACGTATTATACAAAATAATATGTAACATTAATAATAATACAACGTATTATCCAAAATAATATATAACAGTACCGATAACACAACAGATAAATTCCATAAATTTTTACTACACTAAATAAATTTATAATTATCAAAAGGGAAAATTGCTTGGGGGAACCTAATTAAATTAGGCCATGCATCCCCACCCCAAGCCCAAAGACCATAACCAAAAAGCCCTAAACTTGAGAGATATGTGCTACCAACCCCCAAACCCACTGCCCAAGAAAATCTCTTCCCAATTTATCCTTCTTCTTCCTAATTTAAAGCTGCTCAAGCTAATGTTAACGCTCCTCCACCTCCACTGCCTCCACCGGCGCCATTTCTCAACCTCTCCCTCCCCGATCCTCTCCCCCTCCGACCCCTCTGCCGTCCTCACCTCCAAGCAAAAACCCCTCGCCGCCCTCGCCCTCCTCATACAAATCCCCCGCGATCCCTCCCCCTCCTCAATCAAACGTCGAGCATGGATGAAGATGAAGAGCTATGCGAGAAACCATGGCGCCGACACCATCGTCCACCATGCCGGCCAGGCCGTCGCCGGCGGCGCCAACATTTTCCAAGATCGCATGGTATTTTTTCCCTAATTTGCACTTTAATGCCCAAAGTTTGACCATTAAGTGAGAAAAGAGAAATTTTTGGGGGGCATTGAAGTGCAATAAGCTAAAAAAGATAAAATTTTCGTAAAAGAACTGTAATTTTATTTTTTTTGAATGGTTTGTAGGGAATGAAGAACTATAGGAGCTTTAAGCAGACAGTGAGAAGGCTGGAAGAAGCTGCGATGACTTGTAGAGGGCATGAGAGAGTTCAGCTGCTGAGGAGATGGCTGGTTGCTTTGAAAGGAATTGAGAAGGCTTCTGATGAGAAGAGTCCAGAGCAGGCTCAGTCTTCTGATGAGCCCAACTCCCCTAATTCTACTAATTCATCGGAATTATATGGTGTTGATGATAGCAGGACAGAGGATTTGTACTGCAGATTGCTATGTTGTTAGATTAATTTGTTGGTTCTTTGAAGAAAATTAGGTTGTAGGTTTGGAGAGTTATACTCCATTTGATGGGTTGAAATCATTTGGGGGATGATTTTGATATAATAACAGCTCAATTATGTGTGACTTTTGGTGCCCATATGTGATATTTTAGTATAATGTGTGACTTATCCTGCATTTAGTCACATTTTTGTATTTTGTGTGACTTTTGTGGTTGTTACGTGACATTTTAGTATTCTGTGTGACTCTCGGGGCCCATATGTGACATTTTAGTATTCTGTGTGACTTTTGGGGCTGTTATGTGATATTTTTACATTCTCGGGCCCATATGTGACATTTTAGTATTCTGTGTGACTTTTGGGGCTGTTATGTGATATTTTTACATTCTCTGTGTTATATTCTTGTTACTTCTGTGTGACTTTTGGGGCTGTTATGTGATATTTTTACATTCTCTGTGTTATATTCTTGTTACTAGTTATATATCCTGCTATTAAGTGTTATGTTATATTTCTACAGGTATGATTATGACATACATGCGTATTTTTTCATCAAGACGATCCTCGAGGGAAGGGAGATAATGAACGTTGAATCCTTGCACATGGAGTCGCATATGCTACGAGTAGGACTTGCTGCTCAACTCATATGTGAAGGGCGTGAATGGGAAAAAACTACGGTTGAAATTAGACAGTGATGATCCAGAATATTTTTTGTACTTTGGGGGTAGTGATGTACCTATGATTGAGTGGAAGTATTAGACTCTACATGTAACTGTAACATTTGTTTAAACGCTATGATGTAAAGGATAACTAGTTTACTAGTTGTGTGTGACATTTGTTGGATTGTTGTGTGAGCTATATGTGAAGATATATGACCATTAGTATGATGTGTAACGTTTGGGGCTTTTATGTGACGTTTTAGTATGGTGTGTGACTTTTTCTTCTTGTATGTGATATTTTGGTATTCTGTGTGACTTTTGAGGCTGTTATATGATGTTTTAGTATGTTGTGTGATTTTTGCTCCTTGTATGTGACATTTTGGTGTTCTGTGTGACTTTTGAGGCTGTTATGTGATGTTTTAGTATTCTATGTGACTTTTTAGTATGATGTGTGTCTTTTGCTCCTTGTATGTGACATTTTGGTGTTTTGTGTGACTTTTGAGGCTGTTATGTGATGTTTTCGTATGATGTGTGACTTTTGCTCCGATTATGTGACATTTTGGTATGTACCATTGATTGAGTGGAAGTATTAGACAAATACATAACTATTTCATTTGTTGGATGTTGGATGTTTACTAGCTGTTTGTAAATGATAAAATGTGCATTTGTAATTTCTTGGTGATCTTTTTTCATTAGCATATTAAATGGAATCTAAAAGTAAAGTTCTTACAGGTATCACTGTTAATACTAACAAGTCACAAGAACATGTAATATGTCACATTTAAGTAGCAAATATCACAACAAAAGGGAAAATGTAACATGTAACAGACAACCGTCACAAAAGAGTTTGAATTCTGCTGGGAAACGTTAATCATATTAAAACATCACATAACAGCCTCAAAAGTCACACAGAACACCAAAATGTCACATACAAGGAGCAAAAGTCACACAACATACTAAAACATCACATAACAACCTCAAAAGTCACACAAAACACCAAAATGTCACATACAAGGAGCAAAAGTCACACATCATACTAAAACATCACATAACAGCCTCAAAAGTCACATAGAACACCAAAATGTTACATACAAGGAGCAAAAGTCACACAACATACTAAAACATCACATAATAGCCTCAAAAGTCACACAAAACACCAAAATGTCACATACAAGGAGCAAAAGTCACACAGCATACTAAAACATCACATAACAGCCTCAAAAGTCACACAGAACACCAAAATGTCACATACAAGGAGCAAAAGTCACACAGCATACTAAAACATCACATAACAGCCTCAAAAGTCACACATAATACCAAAATATCACATACAAGAAGCAAAAGTCACACACCATACTAAAACGTCACATAAAAGCCCCAACCGTTACACATCATACTAATGGTCATAGATCTTCACATATAGCTCACACAACAATTCAACAAATGTCACACACAACTAGTAAACTAGTTATCCTTTACATCATAGCGTTTAAACAAATGCTACAGTTACATGTAAAGTCTAATACTTCCACTCAATCATAGGTACATCACTACCCCCAAAGTACAAAAAATATTCTGGATCATCACTGTCTAATTTCAACCGTAGTTTTTTTTCCATTCACGCCCTTCACATATGAGTTGAGCAGCAAGTCCTACTCGTAGCATATGCGACTCCATGTGCAAGGCTTCAACGTTCATTATCTCCCTTCCCTCGAGGATCGCCTTGATGAAAAAATACGCATGTATGCCATAATCATACCTGTAGAAATATAACATAACACTTAATAGCAGGATATGTAACTAGTAACAAGAATATAACACAGAGAATGTAAAAATATCACATAACAGCCCCAAAAGTCACACAGAATACTGAAATGTCACATATGGGCCCCAAGAGTCACACAGAATACTAAAATGTCACGTAACAACCACAAAAGTCACACAAAATACCAAAATGTGACTAAATGCAGCATAAGTCACACATCATACTAAAATATCACATATGGGCACCAAAAGTCACACAGAATTGAGCTGTTATTATATCAAAATCATCCCCCAAATGATTTCAACCCATCAAATGGAGTATAACTCTCCAAACCTACAATCTAATTTTCTTCAAAGAACCAAAAAATTAATCTAACAACATAGCTATCTGCAGTACAAATCCTCTGTCCTGCTATCATCAACACCATATAATTCCGATGAATTTGTAGAATTAGGGGAGTTGGGCTCATCAGAAGATTGAGCCTGCTCTGGACTCTTCTCATCAGAAGCCTTCTCAATTCCTTTCAAAGCAACCAGCCATCTCCTCAGCAGCTGAACTCTCTCATGCCCTCTACAAGTCATCGCAGCTTCTTCCAGCATTCTCACTGTCTGCTTAAAGCTCCTATAGTTCTTCATTCCCTACAAACCATTCAAAAAAAAATTATAGTTCTTTTGCGAAAATTTTATCTTTTTCAGCTTATTGCACTTCAATGCCCCCCAAAAATTTCTCTTTTCTCACTTAATGGTCAAACTTTGGGCATTAAAGTGCAAATTAGGGCAAAAATACCATGCGATCTTGGAAAATGTTGGCGCCGCCGGCGACGGCCTGGCCGGCGTGGTGGACGACGGTGTCGGCGCCATGGTTTCTCGCATAGCTCTTCATCTTCATCCATGCTCGACGTTTGATTGAGGAGGGGGAGGGATCGCGGGGGATTTGTATGAGGAGGGCGAGGGCGGCGAGGGGTTTTTGCTTGGAGGCGAGGACGGCAGAGTGGTCGGAGGGGGAGAGAGGTTGAGAAATGGCGGCGGTGGAGGCGGTGGAGGCGGAGGAGCGTTAATATTGGCTTGAGCAGCTTTTAAATTGGGAAGAAGAAGGGTAAATTGGGAAGAGATTTTTTTGGGCAGTGGGTTTGGGGGTTGGTAGCACATATCTCTCAAGTTTAGGGCTTTTTGGTGATGGTCTTTGGGCTTGGGGTGGGGATGCATGGCCTAATTTAATTAGGTTCCCCCAAGCAATTTTCCCTTATCAAAATTATTTAAATAAATATAAAACTTAGTTTTTAAATCATAGAAAATTCTAGAAAATCAAGAAAAATACAAATACTCTTTTAAAAATAATAATTAAATATTTTAAAATACCAAAAAAAATATTTTAACTAGTATCAAAAGTTCATGGTCCTTACACAAGAGCACCGGTGTGTTGGAGGTGTACACTTCACTCTACAGTGGCTCTCTCTACTACAGAGACTGAGTATATGGCGTTGACTGAAGCTGTGAAAGAGGCTTTGTGATTGCAGGGATTATTAGAAGACTTGGGGATTACACAGGATACTATCAGGGTGAATTGTGATAGAATGTCAGCTATCTATTTGGCGAAGAACCAAGTATATCATGCACGTACAAAGCACATTGATGTTAGATTCCACTTTGTTCGAGACATCTTGGATAATGAAGATGTTATATTGGAGAAGATCCACACAAAGGATAATCTGATAGATATGTTGACCAAAGTTATCACTGGGGTGAAATTTGGTTATTGTTTGGAGTTATATTGAACATTCTTCGGTGTTAGGAGCCTCTTAGAGGCCATTTGGGTGAACTACGTGACGCTTGATTCCTTGGACAAGAGGATACGTAGGCAGTCATTATTGATGCAGCCAGTTTGATGAGTTGATACTGACATGTTGGAGATTGTTCATATTCTCATTTGGTTCCCAACTTATTATGGATCGAGTCTGTTGTCGTGGATTGATTTCACTTCGTACTGGACGGAACAAGTAGAATGTTTGGTTGGTATCGATGTCGGCTCAGTTTTGAGGAAACTTCATTGAGGTGGATAATTGTAGAAACGACGATGACGACGATGAAGTTTAGGAAAAACGGAGCAAACATGCACTTGGGTGTTGTCCGGTCGACCACGGGGCTTAGCCCGGTCGACCGGAAACGTGCACACTACAGAGTGCATTTTTTAATCTCTGGTCGGTCGACCACGAGACTAGGCTCGGTAGACCGCAAATCGTGTAATTGTCAGGCTGAGTTTCCTGCCTTCTGGTCGGTCGACCGCGCACTTGTTGGCGGTCGACGCTGACTCGAGTATGGGCATTGGCTTGGTTTCCTGATCTGTTTGGGATTGGTGTTTAATATAAATACAAACATGATTTGTTTAGGGTTTGTATCTCTAAAAAACCACAATAGAGAGACTTTTGAGCTGTGTGATTGGGAGATTTGGTGAGAGATTTGAAAGGTTTGTTTAAGAGATTAATTTGTGAGTTTTGAGTGAATTTATAATCTCTATTTGTACCCTCTCTCTAATAGTAAAATCCATCCCCTCCTTGCCATGTGGACGTAGGCACATTACCGAACCACATA